TATATATATATATATATATATATATATATATATATATATATATATGAATATATATGAATATATATATGAATATATATATACACATATTCACACATATAGACTATGGTTGAGTGTTTATATGTAAATCATTATATTCTATGGATATCATTTGGTTTGCTCAACAATTAATTAAGAGAAGTTTATATTTTCATTCAACCTTTAGAATTCTGATAAAAATTCATGAACGTTATTTCTTAATTAGAATGCATAGAATTTCTTGATTGCATTCTTATTATCAGAGTCGAGACTATCAATTTTTCACATGCATGAAATGAAAATTCATACACAATTTATCTTTTTAAATATTACACTTATAAATATATTAATAATAACGAAATGTTACCTATGTAGATAATGAGTAATATCTGTAGATGTCATTTAAAGAATGTATAATTTGCTTGGAAAGTAATTCAGAGAAGTATTTTTATTTAATCTTTAAAATAAAGTAAATAAAGTAAAATAAGGTAAAGAATGTTCTTTAAACAAGTTAGAGTTTACAGTGCATTCTTATTTTCAGAGTTAAATCTATTAGTTTGTACAACGAAATGAAAAAATTCCATGCCATTTCTTTTTTAAAAACTACATTTATAATTAATACATCCAAAGCAGATATTATTTCATAATTTAATTAATCTCTACTATATATATGTTAATACAATTCACTATATTTTATACAGCTTGCATTGTCTACATGAAAAAAGATTATCCTACTAAAAAGACTATCATAACTCTGATATGGAGCGATAGATATCATAGTTTATATTTACACAGTCAGCATAAGGTGGATCTGACAGTTCTCAAAGTTATGATTATTAGTGTTACATGCAGAACAACATAGTTGTAACACAACTGTTTGCACAGCATGCAATAATTATAACGATAAACATTTGTTATTATTATTATTATTGCATATTAAATCGGTTTTATGCTGTCCACGTAAACATGCACTATGATTGTTGCTAAACCGGTTTCAAGTTGATATGTAAACACAGCCACCACCATCACCACTGTTATTTCTCGACACTTTCGTCCTTTATCTGACAGATAGAACGTCAAGAGAGGGATCTCTCATGGCTCACACACAGCACGACTTGTCTCATCACGTTTACTTACATGCAAAGTCGTCACCTTCTTGGTATTAAGTAATTGACAGTGCTTGCGACTTTATCTCACACGCTGTTACCTTGCTCTATCTGAAACAGAGTGGGACACGGTCCAGTTTTCTCCATATGCGTGCACGAGGCACGGACTTATCGAGCCGATCATCCACGTCGGCGATGCACATCGCGTAGAACGCACTCCCGACCGAGTTGTCCGAGTCGCGGAATAGCTAGACGCGTCGCGATCGAGCGGCGGCGCGTCTCGATCCTCGCGCGACAACGGCCGATCGCGAGAATCGCGGCCGTCCAAACATCCTGCGTGAACTATTGCTACTTTGTGTGCGACGCGGAGGCGACCTACGCCGACGTAGACGTGGACACGAGCGATGCTTCTCTTCGCGAAGCAGAAGATGGACGAGTGAATGAGCGAGCGAGTGAGCGAGCGATTGATTCGTCAAACGGAAACCCGAGAGGTCTGTTTGTCTCAGCTGTTCACCTTCCGCGTTTAAAGAACGAAACAGATGTACGTACGTGCGTTCGCTGCCTCGAGGTCGAGGAAAAAAGAGAAGAGACCGAGCACGAGAAAAGCGACAACTGAACACGAACAGGCCTCAGAGGGCGAGAGGGCGAGAGGGCGATGACGACGGGCGACGCAACTGCGAGTTCCGTTTTGACAGGAGCTGTCAGATCGGAGCGAAGCAGAGAGACAGAGAGAAAGAGAGGGAGGGAGGGAGAAAGGGAGAGAGGAGGGAGGGAGCGAAAGAGAGCGAGAGCGAAAGAGAGTGAGCGGCAAGAGATGCAGCGAACAAAGGAGACGTACGTACCGGAATTCGCGCGATTACACGCGAGACGTGAGATCTCACACGTACATACGCCTTACGTACACGACGATGACGACGAGGATGAACGACTGTGAGGACGAGGGCGACGGAGATGACGTCTCTCGCAGAATCGTTGGGTTGATCGAGAAAAGTTCGTACGTTCTCGTTCGCCGTGCGTGACGTTGAGGTCATCGACGACGGGAAGAAAAATCCCGTGCACGGTATATAGAGGCAGAGGGTCACCGTCTCTCCGTTCTCCTTCTCTCTCTCTCCCTCTCGCGCCTCCCCGCGACTCGTTGTCTCCCTCTTCACCCTCTGACGCTGTGTCTCTCCCTCCCCTCACGTACATACACATTTACTCGCTCTTTCTCTCTCCGTCTTTCGTTCACGACGAAACGCGAACCGTACGAGAGGGCGACGATCGGGCGAAACAGCTGTTGGTGGCGTCCACGGAGAGCGCGTAGTAGAGAGGCAGCGCGAGAAACGTCAAGCGGGGAGCGAGTGAGAGGGTCACTGGCTACGCCATAACAGAGACCTACGCGAAAATCCACAGAAGGCCGGCGTGGTGGGGCATGACACGTAAATTCCGTCGTCTCTCGGTGCGCCTCCACGACCGCGAGTCGCGTACGCGAGAGTGTACGCAAGGACGACGGTCCCTCGACGTTTCGCGACGCGCCAGAGTTCCAAGGAGGAAAACGACTGCGCGAGAGAAGTGACGGAGCAAAGAGGGAGAAAGAGAGACAGAGAATGCGCAAGAGCGAGGGAGAAGGGAGCGAGAGGGATCGAAAAGGTGTTAGGCAGACAGAGATCGGAATAGAGAGAGAGAGAAAGAGAAAGGGCGAGGGAGGGAGATGAGGTGGGGTAAGTGAGTGGGTGGGTAAGGAGGGTGGGTGAGCAATGCCGATGCGACGAGAGAGACAGACTAGCATTATGTACTACCGATCGCACCGTCCCCTTTGCTCGAGGATGATCCTCTCTCTGTTTTTTTTTTATCTCTCTTTCTTTGTCACTGATCTTCCCGAAGCGTTCTCATGCTCATCTGTCTTCCTCGATGCGTATGCTCTTTAGGTAACACGTGAACTTGGAGAAGATCACAAGGGAATGATGCGAGAGGGCAGCGTCGGCTTTCCATTTATGTAAACGGAATAAGCGACCGCGCAGCGGCGCGACTGACAACGACGATGACCACGACAACGTTGATGATGATGATGATGATGATGATGATGATGATGATGATGATGATGATGATGATGATGATGACGATGATGATGATGACGATGATGATGATGATGATGATGATGACGATGACGACGACGACGACGACGACGACGACGACGATGATGACGACGACGACGACGATGATGACGACGACAACGACGACGGCGACGATATCCACAGAGAAGTTCGCTGACGTGAACGTCACTCGAAACGAAGTCACGGCCCGTTCACGGGAAGGTCCGCTGTTAATTAGCCCGAGCCTGTCTGCCTGTTTCGCCCGGGCATATACCTGCTCTCGCTCTTTAACCTTAATCACGCAAGACAGCTCGCGACGTTGATCTCTCGCGTTCCTCTTTGTATCGTCGTGAAAAGCCCTCGATGCCGATTCTCCTGGCCGTCGAACGATCGATTCATCAAGCGCCCGCTCTCGCTCGGCTCACAAAATATCGCGCACGATCCTTTATTTACTTACGTCTCGCGACTTTTCCACTCTAACAAATTCTCTCCTCTTTTCTCTCTACTGGGAAATTTTTCTATATATCTCTACTGTGTCCGGGATCTCTGGTTAGCTGCGCGTTGGCGATCTGCGCAGCGGCGAATACGCGTGCGCCACTGGCCGATTTACACACTAGGCATGAACGACGGAATTACCGCAGACGACCGACCTATCGATTATCGTCCAATTATACGACTGTTCACCTATCCTATCAGACATTCGTGTGAAATTTGTCGACAAATAAATTTTTAAGGATTCATATAATGCAATCGTATTTTATATTTTTGTTTCAAAAGTGTTGAACAGTAATTAAAAGCGTTTGTAAGTCCTTAGAAAACTTGTAATCATATAATCATTTTTTAATCGTGATGTTAGCCGCAGCTTAACAATTCTTACAAAATTTTATACTGAAAGTTTGTAATTTATTTGAAGATTTAAGTGCGTTTAAAAGAGTTTGTGAGTCCATAGAATTATCTAAATTATTTGTAAACTATAAAATTATCCAAATAGTCATAGAACATCAATACCTAGATACGAAAATGTCCAGAAAGGACCGAAAATAGGAAAAGCATTAATGTTTTAATAAATTTGGTTACACATTTTCCCGAAAACTAGATGGGAAAATGGTGGTACCAGCAAAAACCCCTAAATAACAATTTTAATTTCTGCGGATTAGTGACATTGTTGAAGTAGCAAGTCCATGAATTTTACGGAGTCGTTTTGACATATGCGTGTGTATATGTCAAATAACAAACTGTTACTAATCCGCAAAAATTAAAATTGTGTTGCCTAGGGGTTTTTGCAGCGGAATAGCGGAGCGCGGAACGAGAGTGGAACCAATCATGAGCGTCCCACAATTTTCGCTCGTGATTGCTTTCGCTCATGATTCCGCTCTCGTTCCGCGCTCCGCTATTCCGCTGCATGGGTTTGCACCCTTATGCAGGATTCACACCGCGTCTGATGTCCGATGTACGGCGTCCGATATCCAATAAGAAGCTTTCCAATATAGAATTGAATTCTCCATTGGAAAACTATTCTTTTATTGGATATCGGACATCGGACGTGTGAATCCTATATTAAGCAGCCATATTCTTAAGCTCATTCTACAGTTGCGTGAACGTGGTTGTAAGTGGTTGTATGTGATTACGACAACCAATCAGAATAAAGCAATCAGTAAATAAAACATTCGGATTGGTTGATTCTTACGATCCCGACTACGCTTACGCAATTGTAGAATGGGCTTTACAGAATTCTTACAGAAATTGTAGAGGAGTCTTAAAACGTCACATAAGAATTGACCAATCATGTTGAAAATCGTCGAATCGTAAGGTCGCCATTTTTATGAATACTTGATCGCAATTGGTCAATTCCTACGTCTTACGATTACTGTTATGAAAAGTGTGTGTGGCCAGCTTTATGTTCTCGTTGTATAGATATAAAGCCAGCAGCATATATGGTACTTTCGTTGCTGATTGGCCAGTGGGCTACCGCTCGGTAGAAATCTTTTATTGTTAATATCGTAAAAATTTTACTCGCTAGTCTATAGTATTCGTAACGTAAACTGTATATATTGAGCAAAATTTTTCAAAAAAAAGACATTTTACAATGCGACCTTAGTTCTCATCAGCACATGTTGGTGTGAGCCAATCAGGAAGTAGCTGATTACATGATTACTGGCGTGTCAATGGATTTCTCCATTGAATACGATATACGTTACTGAATGAATTGAAGAAGTATTTCAATCTTTAATCATTTATAAATATCTATCTTTCCTACATATAGAATTATTCTGTAATATGGATTTGTTATACATTTTGTAATAGATTGCTTCATGATTATATAAATTCAGGCTCTTCTACAAATATTGGTAAAATTATGGTACATAAATATTGGTACATATATTGGTAAAAATACTTATAATTATTAAAAAAACAAATGCAAGAAAAAAATTCTTTTGAAAAAATTTTTTCTTTATATTATATCGTATTTTATAGAGTTCTCTGATAAAAATCATATTAAGATTGAATAAGATCATATTAAGATTTTTATTTCCTTTTAATTAAATTATTTTATTATTTTTTCTTTTTAATTGAGTGGCGTTTCTTCGATTTTTTTCTAACTTTACTATCATAATTAATACCAAGAAGTGGATGTCTTATTTTCAACTCATTAGGAAATAGAGGTATGCTGGAGTTCTTGTCTGAAGATATAGGCTTCATTTTTGATGCTACAGACAATTTTCTTCTTACTGTTAATAACCCAGCTGGCTTGATATTAACTATATAAATTACAACAAATGTACAATTAAAAAAAAAAAAAAAATATATATATATATAATCTTTTAGTGATATTCAAATAAGCAAAATAATTACCTGTCTTATACAGTGGTTCTTCCTTTCCAGTGCTAAGGACACATGTGATATTACATTTGAAGTTATGGGCAGTTGTGCAATATCGTTCCCCTTTAATTTTAATTTTGGATTTGTCACCCAGAGTTATCTTTTGACCATGTAGTTCTTTTGGATCTATCTATATAAGAGCAAAATATATTTCGATATCTTATTAGAAATCTCAGATAGTGTTGCAGGATATCAGTAAAGTATGCAGCAATGTAGAAGAATGCTTCTACTACTATTTTAGATATCACACAATTATAATAGGTCTGTTAGTTTTTTAAGAACTTTTGAATTAGTACAATGAGCTAAAGTGAAAGAAAGTATACCTATTTCTCTAACTTATTGTACTAAGGCAGAAGTTCATCGAAAACTAACAACAAGCTATGTAGCAACAGACAAACTATAAAATAAAATATACTTTTTATCCTTGAGACTTTTCTTTCTTGAACCATTAGAATTATGAATAATGATAAAGAATTTTATTACTGTTACTCACTGACTTGGGAATATCCATGATCCAAATTTCTTCATTGTCTGATATATCGTTCAGACTAAAAGATTCAGAAGATTCTACAACTAGCGTTTCCCTTTCAATCAATTCTCTGAGCTGTAGGATATATGCAGATATAGTTCCCACTTGATTATTCTTTAATACTGAGACTTTAATTATTATATCACTTACATTACGTGGTCTCGTTGTATTTGGCGCCGTCACCAATCTCTGTGATAAATCGCTTATACTTTCGACATTGCCATTCATCTGTGTAATTTCCTTGTCCGTTGACTTTTCGCTGAACGATCTATCAGATTTTTTCAAGATACTCTTGCGTGATTTAACCGCAGGACTGCTGGTTGCGCTACGTGGTTGTGCCGTTGTATTTATTTTAATAGATTTGCTATGTCGAGGATGTTCAGGCGGGGTATCCACGATGTTCTCCATTAAAACCATGGACTTATTTAATTGAGTATTTAAGTGCGTTATAGAATCTTTTTCACAGTCTGTCATATTACTTAGAATTCATACACGTTTAAAAAGTATACTTTTAGCAAAGCGTTAATATATAAATACTTTGTTATCCTAGGTAAAATTCACATAACGTAATATGTATAAGATTAACAAATATAATTATGTAATTATTTCATACCGCATTAAACGAATTATGTCAAATTAAACAAAATTAAAGACACAAGAGCTAAAAGTTAACCTCATTTGACGAAGGTTTCATACGGTAAGAGCGCGAAACATCGTTTTGTGAGCGTGGTTGTTGTTCATTCGCACGTGGAATCTAAAGGCTTATTCAAAATTTGCATTATCACATATTGGTTACGTTCCGAAATTCACTGCCAGTACTGAAATTTTATAGTATACGTGACATGAATTATAGATTTTTAGTACTCACAGTGAATTTCGGAACGCAGCCATTGCGGGAGCGGTTCATTTGCCCATCATCAATGGGTGCGTTCAGCGAACTCAACAGTTGCACAAAGTTGAGCAATTTGTCAATGTAATTGATCTAAAGTTAGAGATTTAACAGTAAGGATCAATAATCACTGACCCCTCACTGATCAGCTATGTTTTCTGAACGCAGCCAATGGCTTGGTTTATATCGTGCACTTGATAGGCGTACTATATAGTAACTTTCTATTAAATAATTTTAATATTGACAATGTATACCAACGATGACACATTCAATCGATACAATAATGGCCATTTTCATAATCTCCAGTTACCTTAACTACTGGTTAAATGTGCACGGTGATTGGTTAATCTTGTTAAACGACAAGTGCGATTAGTTAGTTCCAACGGAATAACTAGCCGGTTAAAGTAATCGGAGATGGTGAAAATGGCCATAAGTCTTCTTGATCAGTATTATATCAGCTTAATATACCGTTATTTATATACATCGTCGATATTAAGATTATCTAATAAAAAGTTATTATTTAATACGCGTGCATACGCGTGCATACGCGTTATTATTTAATCAAGTGCACGATGTAAACCAAGCCATTCACAACTGCATGTGATCTAGGGATTTTCTAATATTGGCCAATTGATGTAATCTGGACAATTGATATACATTCACATATTGCATATACATACATATAAAGAAATTAATCAACGCATATATATTTAAATGAAGCATTCATATACTTTTCATTCATGTGATAAAGGATTCACGTTCCGATGCGAAGAATTGCGTCCGATGTTCGACGTACAACGTCCGATATCCAATAAAAGAATAGCTTTCCAATGGAAAAAGTCATAAAGAAACATTGGGTAGCACCTATTTTGCAAGATAGAAAAGGGCATAGATTTTTTCATGCTGTGCTACTTAAACTTCTTCTAGAAGACTTAAGATTTCATAGTTATATACGCATGTTTGCAAGTTAATTTGAAAATTTAGTATTTATAATTGGAGCAGACATATTTAAGCATTATTACATTAGAGAACCTATAAATGTTGTTGAGATTATCTTAGCGAATATTCGCTAAAAGCTAAAAAATTTCAGCGAACAGCGATTACTCGTTAGCGAATAACCATGTGACCTTCAATTGCAGCGATTTATTCGCTACATGAATTTGCACCTAAGTGTAAAAGTGTCAAAAGTGCATTCAACACGAACAAACATAATATTTGTGTTTTTAGATAATATATATAGAATATATAGAAGTTTGTTTCTTTCTAGTTTTTGTGTGTGAAATAAACTTGTTTAAGTTTTCCTGTGTGTGCGACATTATGGTCCGAAAGTGCTGTGTACCAGGTTGCAAATCTTCTTCACGGTTTCCTAATCATAGGTTACCCACAGAAGATTTAAAAGCACAAACATGGTTAAAAACAATTGGTTTAAACAACATGATAGGTAAATTTAAAACAAATTTATTCCAAATTTGTATGTGCTACTTATATAGAAGTTATATTTAAATGATACAAGTATCTCTTTTCAAAATTCATTCATTAAATTGTTTTCGCTTTTTTGAAATAATTAGTGAAAAAAGTATTTCTTTGTAAGCAATATGATGTACATGTGAATAGTGTTTCGTCAATATTATGATTTTATATCATATGCTTAAATACAAAAAATTTTTATGTTTACAGATGCACCAAATGAAGAGAAGGCGAAATTAAGAATTTGCTTCCTACATTTTCCGGACGAAATGATAAAGCCTTATGGACAGAAGCGGTGTCTTATGGATAATGCAATACCTACCTTGCATTTATCAAATGTAACCATTGCGGCAGATTGCGCCAGCCCCAGTTCTACTGGAATTAATACCATTGCAGCTTTGGACAGTTCAGAAGATATTGGAGACAATTCTAATTTTGCCCCAGCGGAACATGTAAACGTCACTACAGTTAGTATGACAAATGTTCAGCATTTTCGTAACAAAATAAGACGTTACCGGGCAATGTTACGTAATAAAAAACGTGTTATCCGATGTACAAGACAACGTAGAGTGCTGTATAGAAAGAATGAAGAGACATGGGACAATGTAACAGCAAATTTTCCCAGCATCCAGAGGATTTTCTTGGATATGATACATCAAAATTTCCAACATGCTTCACAGGTATGTAAACATTTAGGTATGAAATCTTTCAATGTTTATTACATATGAGTACCACAAAAGAAATTTCTGAATGTAAATGTATTACTATTAAATAATATTGTTAAACAAGCTTTTTAAGTTTATATTGTTTATTGACATATTTTATTTTTTAATTTAAAACTGTCTTAAAGTTGTTTATAAAACAGTTTAGAACAGCACATGAATATGAAAAGTTTTTTTCTTTTAATCAATTGTATTATATACAACATTTTTTTTATATATGACCAATTTTTGTCATATATAAAAATTATATACTTTATATTTTTAATTTATTTATTATGAAATTATTATTATAATGTTATTATTTTATATACATATATATTTTTTTTTTATAAGTGTATACGTGAAATAATAATTTGTAAATAGTTCTTTTAAAGAGCTCTATATATATGAATAATTGTATGATGTATCTCTATATAAATGATTGCATATTGTCAGAGAATATACTGCAAATCATTCAAAAGGATAACAGATTGTATATGCATTTTATATATTTTTGCTAAAACTATAATTATTAATATATATTTGAATCTATCTTTTTTATTCTCTCTCTTTGCTTTGTTACATTATTTTATATGACAATATGCTTCTTGCTATTTAGTATAATAGTTAATGTGATGTAGTGCATGCATAATCATTTGTTATGATAGTTACTGTACTATATTTATAGAAAGCTCTTCTTTCATAATATATGTCTAAAATATAAAAATAATAAGCTGAGTGTGCATATAATAAAATAAAATACTTATTCTGTTCACATTCTAATTTTATCTTTTAAAACTTAATAGAGACGTCGTTACGAGACAAAACAGAAGGCTTTGGCTTTGATGTTATATAAAACGATGGGAAAGCGTGCTTACACGTGTCTGCGAGATGTTTTTACGCACATTCCCTGCATACAAACTTTGCAGTTAGTGCTTCAAGAAATACCCTTAACCCCTGGCTTGAACTCTTTGATTTTGCGACATCTGGAAAACATGTCTCGAGAAATGTATAGCAAAGACAAAGTATGCATATTAATGTGGAATCAAGTATCAATTCAATCACACGTCACTTATGATACTCGAAAAGATATCATTTGTGGTTTTGAAGACTGGGGCAATATTCGCACAAATAAAGTCGCAGACCACGCGTTAGTTTTTATGTTACGTGGTTTAAACACAGGCTGGAAGATGCCTGTCTCCTATAACTTTTGCGCAAAAATGACAAACAGTGCGTTATTATTGCGCTGCATCAAGCAACATGTGCATGCAATATGCGAAGCAGGCTTCCATGTCGTTGCGACCGTTTGCGACCAGAAACCTGCAAACATTGCTGCGATTAAGCAGCTATTGCTGCAGACGGAATTGAAGCGCAATTTTAAGAGAAAAACGCAAGGTAAGTAATGTCCATTTATTACTTTGTAACACATATAACGTACAGATTTCTTATGAAATTTGTTTTATCTACAGCTCCAACTTTTGAGGTCGGAAACGTCGAGATAGTACCTTTATTTAATCCTCCACACCTTATAAAGAGTATACGGAACAATTTATTGACGAAAGACCTGGCGATGAGCTGCGAAAACAACATTCCGACTCGTATAGCGTCGTGGAATGTAATCAAAACAGCATGGATCATGGACAAGAAGATTAATACTATTCGGCCACTACTACAGAAAATCACTAAGGAACATGTAATAGAGAATCAAATAAAGAAGATGCATGTTAAATATGCAGCACAGGTGCTAAGTGGAACGGTTGCGAGCTATGTTGAGACTTTGGCAAGATTACAATGTAAGTAGTAATATAATAATTATAATAAGGAAATACACATACACACATGCGTATCATTTTAAATATACATATTGGGAATAATTTTGTTTTTTTTAAACAGATGTAGTGACGATAGAGACAATGAATAACGCTAATGTAATTGGAATTGATGCAGAAAAAGGTATTGCGACGGCGGAGGCGGTAAATTTTTTTAATGATCTCTTCGACTCTGTGAACGGTAGTGAGGAGAATGACAATGATTTGCGATGTATAGTGACAGTGGATAGTATGCATCATGCATTTTGGAGAAAGGCGAAAAATGTATTACGACAAATGTGCTATGTAGACAAGACAACGCGCGAAACTATTAAGACAGTCCCTACGTTAAGAAATTGGCTGTTTACTTTGGATGGTTTCGAAAACTTGTGGAGGATATTGAAATTTAAGTACGATTTTACAAGTCTTAAAACGTTTTATTGTAATCAGGATCCGATAGAACATTTTTTCCATCAAATAAGGAGCCATACCATGCGAGATACGAATCCAACATGTCAACAATTTGAAGATTCATTCATAACTGTATTGGTAAGCAACATGAGGTCCGTTGAGATTGATGGCGATAATTGTAAAATTGTTGAAGATCCCTTTATATTGCCTTCATTTGAACAGTATTTAGAGCATGAACTTCAAAATGCTAAGATGTGTGATGTACGCAAAAACAACGATATAGATGAACCACTGGAAATGGTTTCAAAAATTGCTCGCAGCGATAGTAGTTATCCATTTTTATTAGACAGCGATTACATTATTAGTGTTATCATAAAACATCTTAACAACTGTAAAGAATGCGACGATAGTCTTAGAAATAGTAGCTTTTTTTCAACTTACGCAAAACAAATCATATGTAGAATATTAAAATTGTTACAGACGCGATGCCATCAACGTAGCATTCTCAAATTGCTATTACAGCACTTTGAAAGTTGGACTATAAACATGGACTGGCATGAGTGCATGGAGCACCGTGACAACATGTTTTTAACGATGGTTCGCGTAATCTCTATTAAAATATTAGCGTGGTGGTGCAACAAAAAAAATATCTTAATGCGTAATACAGACGACTATAGTAACATAGATTTATTATGTTGTGAAGAAATTGAAGAAATTAAAAAAGTGCGCGAAATGTACCGACTCACTAAATGTAAAAGAAGAGCTGTGTTAAACGAGTATAAATTGTCTGTTAGAGAAAGAATGAATAAGCGGGAAAGTGATATAAATTGTTACCGAGCATGAAGTGTGATAGTAATTTATTTTATAGTTAGGTAGAGAACTCTATTCCAATTTATTTATTTCAAAGATATGTTTTCTACAGATAGGTGCCTTCAGGTTGATAGTTGGAAGCGATCGGGATTCATTAATATTGATCGCTCTTATAAATTGCTATAACAGCATATTTTAGGATTTAAGTTATAAAATTCATTCAATGACATTTGTGTCAACCTCCAACTGGAAAAGTTGGAGTATGTTTCCTCTACGTGAAGACATGTCGAAGGATGAGAGGTGAGAAATAAAAGGACTTCCTCAATAGGATTGATGCCCTAAATGTTTCGGATTGTATGATTCTGTATGTATATACATTTGTGTCTGTTACAATTATCACATGTAATAATACTGTTACACATAATACTTGTATATACTGATATTTTCATATACTTATTATATATAATCAATACGTACATATATTTCTTGTGATATTAGGTTTATATATTATATAACGTATATAATATGTTGACTCGTTACTTTTTCTTGTACAAGTCTATGTATAGAGTGTGAATGGTTTTGTGTATATGATGCACTGTGGTTTGCATTATATTTTTTTAATTATACCAGATACACGATGAAAAGGGTATTTGACAGTTTACAGTTTGCAAATAAGACAGGAAAAACGTGTTGTATATCACTTTGTTATAATTATTTTTAATAATTCTTTTTGATATTTTATAACTACTTAGGATGTATATTTGTAAAAAATATTAATAAACCAAGATTTTCTTTCATCTTATCTTTTTATTACTTTCAATACTATCTTCATAAATGAAAAAAAAAAAAATTTTATATATATATATTATCTGTAGTAATTCTATTTCTACTCCCTCCCATTCGAACATCCTTACACGGCACATTTCCTCCTACGCCTAAGCGAAACCGCGACGTGCGGTGTTCCTCCCTAGTGCCCATCGGTCAATTATGAGTGATTCGAATATTCGAACTCGCCGCCGCGCGATCCAGAACGAGGTTCTCCCAGAGTTGGCAGCATCTAGAGGTCCAGGAGGTGCCGATCCATGTAAGCCACGAGAGCGCCATCCAGGGGTACAGAGAGCAACCGCACGATGGACGACCACTGGTAAGTCGTTATCTACATTATTTCTATACGCGCGAAACTACGATTAAAGCCTGCGACTGTCCGACCCACCGTAAGGTTACACTACGGTGGTTATACTACGCGTCTTGCGTGAAATCCATCGCGATTACCCTTGATCGCATGGATAGAATTACGCGATTCGTTTAGCTCGAAAAATTGCGATCTGATCCCGTGCTAGGGTTCGAGCGCTATTCTTCACGGCAACGTGGCCGCAACTCGCCGGGACGTAACACCAATAATCATAGTGCAGTTAAAAAGAACAGACCATTACTGTGAATCCTCTATAAGGAATTCGATTGCTACTTGTGTATCCGCTTAAAATAGGTTCCAAATGGCGCCAAAATCATGTCGTTACGTTAAGACGTGTTCGAACACATTCAGACCTGATTTGTTTGGAATTCGTATCTCAGTATCTTGGATGAAAAAACTGAGAGGTAAGTCTGAGACTAAGTAAAATAAGAAGAAAATCGTGGAGTAGTGAAGCCTTGTTTTACTTTTCGTGTCATGAGTGTTATCAGATTTGATGACTGACTGTTGGATAAAGAATTTCTATGGTTATTCTGTTTTCATGATTATTATTTTTTCTACTAATTGTTTATTCGATAAACTTATAGTGCAACAAATGAGATCTTAATAAAACGGAAGAAGGATATAGAAGCGTTAGGATACAGAGTTAATGTGTGTAAACATAATGTGAAGAATATTCTATAATCATTTATCAACGGAAATTCATATCGTGTGTAAAATATGTCGACTAATACTTTGAGAAGGTCTTCGCGAATAAAATCTGTCGTCAAATACAAAAATGATAGCGACACGGAAACGTCTAATTCTGGTAAGTTTCCACAATAATAAAAAAATAATGAATTATATTTATCTTCTGATCTGTTGGGTATTTTTCTTAGCATTTTGTTTCATTGTAATAGCATCTTTTTTATCGTATAAAATTTTTATTGATATCTTTATTTCTTGCAGTACTAGATAATACATTGGAAGCTGAAATAGAAGAAGAACTGAAAGATATACAAGAGGAGACACAGAAACCACTTGGTAATAAATAAAAGGATTTTAGGGGTTTAGTATATGAATCTAATATTATTTTAACATTTAAGAATTATTTTCTGAGAAGGATGTGAGTGGAAGAAAATTATATGGATTTCAAACACCTGTGAAAAAGAACAGTATGATGCTTAAAGCCAATCAGTGTCGTACACCTACAACACCTGTACATCTAAAAACAATGTCTGAACTAAAAGTTGTACTGGATAAAATTGTGATAGACAAAAAAACTAAAAAAATAATCATACACAAGAATGCTGCTGCAAAAGGTATTATTCAGCAATGAGACTATATTAGAAATATGTAATAAAATATATAAAAATAATATATAAAGATAAATAAAAATAATATATAACATAAGTAATATATTTGTTTTAATTTTTTTTGTATGCATTAGTGAGTCGGAAGCGATTTTTGCCTAGTGTGAATTCAAGTGGTAACGAAAGTGTATCAGAGGACAGTGAGTATATTCCTACAGATGATGAAGCTAATTCAGAATCAGATGAAATATCTAACAGCAGCAGAGAGAGTGAAAGTTTTGATACTAGTGAGGAAGAAGGCAATATTATGAAGGAAAGAATAGAAAAAAAACGAGGTATAGTGCGGAATACTTTACTAAAACGTGAAGTACAAAATACTCCCAGACAAAAAACAAAGAATAGCCGTAAGACTATTGTTTATAAAGATTGTGTAAGTTGAAACTGAAGAAACGTGTGACATTGCACAATATTATGCACAAATAATATTTTCAATATGTTCTATGCTTCATTAATTGAATATTTCTTAAAACTTTTACAGCACATAAAGACTGATGAGTTCTTTGAATCCCAACAAGAAAAAACAATCACATCTGATCGTACACTGGGAAGGCTTCGTAATACACGCCTTACTGAGGAGAAACTTGGTGAATTGCTAGTAAATCAGAATCATGTTTCCACAATACACAAGAAACGTATTCATTCATTAATAGAAAATTATAAATCATTCTTTCCAATGTGGCACTTCATAATGGAGTGAGTATTAAATATATGGCTACTGAAGAAAAATATTTTTTGGTGATAATTGAAACTTAAAATGTATATGAAATGGCAGGGAAGGTTACAGCCTTCTACTTCATGGTCTGGGTTCAAAAAGGAATTTAATTAACGATTTCCACAATGAGGTCTTGAGTGATCATCCGACACTAGTTATAAATGGATTTTTTCCTAGTTTGGCAATCAAAGATGTAAGTCGAATGATAATGTAAAAATCACAAAGTTTTATCAGCTCTCTAGAAAATAAATAGTTCTCGACTATATATCGTCATTTCACCAATCAAATTAGAAGAAAAATTAACGTTATTTCAGATACTGAATGATATAATTACGGAAATATTGGATTTGGATTGCCCAGGAAGTCTCAATGATTGTCTAGAGCTTATTGAAAAAGTTCTGGCAGTTAATCCAAACGATCGACTCTACTTGTTAATTCACAATATAGACGGAATAATGCTGCGCTCTAACAAAGCTCAAAATATTCTCGCTAGTTTAGCAGGCATTCCGAATGTTCGGGTTTTAGCATCCGTTGATCACATTAATGCGCCACTTCGTAAGTTACATTCATCTTTGTTGAATCGATCTAATTCATACTTAAAGCAGTTCTTACTTTTTTTTTCTAACAAGAATTTATTCTTTCGAGAATATAATACTATGTTTAATTCTTCTTATCAATGTATCATCTAAGTAATTTTTGAATATTTCTACTTTAATTTTTATTATTTTCCTTTAATTTTAATATTAATATTTTTATTTTAATTTCTACAAATTCTTTCACATGAAAGCTGGATGATGCTTTGCACGGTTTAATTTTCTTATTGCGTTTTTTTTTAATTTTTCTTGCTTTTATTAATTCTATTAATTCTATTAATTTTATTAATTCTATTAATTTTTCTAATAATTCGAACTCAATCTTTTTTTTTCTCTTTTTTTTTTAGTTTGGGATCATATAAAACGTGCGAAATTCAATTTCTATTGGTGGGATGCGACTACATTCCTACCGTACCAAGCTGAGACTTCGTACGAGAGTTCTCTATTAGTTCAACAGAGCGGTACACTCGCCTTGTCCTCTCTGCAGAACGTCTTCCTCTCTCTCACCTCAAACGCTCGAGCGATTTACATACTTCTCGTCAAATATCAATTGAACCATATTGGTGGTAACTACGCAGGTAATTATCGTTCAAGTACCTGAATATGCTGCAATAATTAATAACGGTAAGTATATTGTACATATATACGCTATCTAATGATATTTGTTATTTAGGAATGTTGTTCAAGGATTTGTATCAAGCGGCGCGCGAGCAGTTCTTGGTCAGTTCCGACTTAGCGTTGAGAGCGCAGTTGACCGAGTTCATAGATCACAAATTGGTCCGAACCAAACGCAACGTAGATGGTGCTGAATATCTTACGATACCCCTCGACAAAGGTCTCTTAAAGCAATTTCTTGAACAACACGATTCGTGATTTATCTAAGATATACTCGTAAAATATAAACAAAAAAGGATACGTAAATCTCTTCGTGAGATAATTTATAATGAAAGCGTGAAATGTTTAAGGAGTTCTTGTCGTTTTATATATTTTAAAGCTTCTGACTATTCGCCACAAAACTCTTGATTGATGACGTCAGAAGCAAGATAACAGCAGCTTTTATTTTCCAATTTCTGAAAATATATGGAAAAGATGCATCCATAAAATGACATTTGGGATCGATCGAGCAGATTAGTAAAATTGTTTGGACACTTCTTTTTTATTTCAACACTCACACTAAATAACCATAAAATGGAGATCTTGCTTTCAAATCATCTTTTTTCATGATTTTGTCACATTCATTTTATAGTTATTAGAATAAAAAGGGAAGTTTTAGTGTATTTTAGAGGCATGTGCTTAATCGATCGCAAGTATCATTTTTTTCAATATATTTTATTTTTTGCAGAAATTCTGAATGTATATCTTGCTTGTTTTCTTATCAATCAAGAATTTCATAATAAATATCCAGGAGCCTTAATATAACTTAAAAATAACATTTAAAGCTGACTTATACACATTTTTTTATTAAAAATTACATTCTTTATAAATAAGATATATTATTAAAGTATCATAATTTATGTGTGATTAGTTTTAAGTGATATTATGGCAAAATAGTGGCATCAATGGGTCTATTTGTTTTTGAAGAACCTCTGAACTAGTGCATACTAATACAACAAATTAGAGTGAAAAATAGTATAGTTGTTTCACTCTAACTTACTGCTTCAGAGTTCAGATCATTAATCATGAATTTTTTTCACGTGAACTCAATCTTATTAATTATGTAATTTGTTTCTTTAGTATGATATAAAAACTAAATAATATTTCATTCTGAGACAATCACGAATCTTTTCCTGCAATATATAAATTCGTGAAAAAAAGAGAGAGAGAGTAAACATTTCTATATATTTTCCAGGATTGATAACGTTAGTTTATAAAAGTAACTCGTTATGGTTACCTTTATTTTCTTTAAAATGTAATTCGTTATAAATTTTAAAAAGTAACTCGTTACAGTTACCGTTATTTAAAAAGTAACGATTCGTAAGACTAATGCAGGATTCACAATGCGTCCGATGTCCGACGTACGACGTCCGATATCTAATAGGAGAACAGTTTTTCAATAGAGAATTGAATTTTCTATTAAAAAGCTGTTTTCTAAATAGGAGCTGTTGCTGTTACAAATAATTCGTTATTTCCCAACCCTGATATTTTCAAAGTTAGATTTTCACTTTTTACGATTTCACACCAGGAAAAAAAAACGATCTCTGATGTTCTTTGTAAATGAATAGATCTAAGGTCGGTTTTTTGTAGCTACACTGTTAAAGTAGTGCAATAAAAGTTAGAGTGAAAAAAAATGTTTTACTTTTAACTTATTGCACTTATTGCAGTTCAGCAGTGCAGTTACAAGTGCAGGACAAACCGCTAATGTCGCCATGGTACCCACGTTGGTGCATAGATGTCGCCGAGAGCGCGGCGCGGCACTATTTGTAGAATCAAACGCGAAGGCGCGAATTGTGTTGTGATATTCAGACGTTTCGCACGTAGTTCGGCTGTCAGGCGTACCCAACGATATGATCGGAGCGTGATAGACATATACCGTGTTGACACGAGCACGTACGTATTTTCAAGACGACGGTTTCGTTGGGACGCGTCAGAGTAAACGAAAAGTTCGAGTGACGCTGTGCGAGTCATCGCGAGACGTCAGACGCTCATGTTGCGCCGAATTGTTTGAATCGCCGATCATCTGCCATTAGCATGCTTTACGTAGTTCTTCGTGTTGTTTTATCCGTTGCAACGAGTTCGCAGGTCGTGACCGGAATCAACGGTCGGCTTGTCGGATTCGAGACTCGCGATTGAGAAACGTCCGGTTCGGTCGCGAACTGCCGAACGCGAATACGCGTTGCATCTCGAGTGTTATATTGTGTCGTGTAACACGCCTATTTCGGTACGTGCACGTCGTAAGTGAATCTATCGTTCGTGCCAATCGACAACGCCAACAGTAAACAACACGTCCTGCTGACCGTTCTGACCTTACGCTGGTAAGTCATAAGCGTGTGCGCAACCTTGACTTTCGATGCGAGTCTCGCGGCACGTATTAAGCGGCGATTGAGAGAGATAGGAGTAGGTAGAGGAACAAGAGAGAAAAAGAAGAGGAGCGAGTGAGCGAGAGGACGAGTGGGCGCGTGAGCGAGCGAGAGGGCGAGCGCGCGCGAGAAAGAGTGAGAGTGAGCCGCCGCGGTCGGATATGGCGGAGTAGCGGCGTGCGCGTTTCTGTTCGTTAAAAAGCCGCGATGTCGTTCGTGAAGTATTTGCGGAACGTCGGCAAATGTCAGACGGCTCGTTGACGTGCGCGTCTTCGCGGAGGACTGTTTCCGTTTGTCAAACCGTCGTCAGCGCCGTCGCCGTCGCCGGACCGACTTTCCTAACCTATCATCGCGTGGAGTCCTTGGTCTTGTGTACGACCGAGAGGTAGTGATCTTTCGCGCAGACAGCTCCTCGGGCCTCTCTTTTGTTTCCGTCATAGCCGTGAAGTTGCTGCTAAAACAATCTCGCGACCGTTGAGTTGGCGCCGCGAAGATCATTGTTGTTAGGTTATTCAGAGACAGCGATCATGTTGATCTAACCCTCGTCACTTTTTCTTCGTTATCTGTTTCTTCTCGCGCTTTGGTGAGCTGTTAAATAAATTAGTGGCATCGTAGTCTCAGCCTTAGTTTCACTGACGACAAGTAAATATGCCAGAATAGCTTTTACTTTTAGAAAATATTTGGACACCTATTTATAGGATATAAAGTTTATATCTGTGAAAGAGAAAAGTTCATATTTTCTCTCTCTCTTTTTCTCATAAAGTTTGTCTCACATTGAATGAACTTTACTTCACAGAAATAGGTTTCATTTCAAAGTACAAGTCAGAAATGAAGTTTGTGTTCATAAAATTCATTTCTGTGAACAAGGAGAAATATCTCACAAGTAAATTTTGAAATATTTTGTATCAGTGGTCAAAATTGCCTTAGAATACTGATCACAAAACAGATACACACGAAAGTGGGTTATTTAAAATATGGAAATCTGCTTGTTGCAGTCTGTGCCTGAAGTGTGATAGTCTGCATAACTTTGTCAACCTGCTGTGTCAACTAGTGTTGTGTCAAGCTCCAATTGCAGCGTAAGGTTAGAGATCTGAATTATCCTGTTATCTTTTTTTGAGAGAAGGTAGAAATTTAGCGTATTATGCTGAATATCTGATTTGACTGCGTTGTGTGCGCGTGCCTTTGATTGCCCTCTGCTGTTTGCATCTGTGTAAAATGACGACTTTGATTGCACATTTGTTTGTTGTCATTACACACTGTATCTGAAAGAACACTGTGCACAGCTATGTGTAATTAATGGAATACACATACGACACGTTTGACAAGGATCTTTTTCACCTGTGCATTCCTATTTTGCTTTGTTTTCTGATTTTTGACGTCTTTGCGAGAGCACAGTCGACAGGGTTGTTGAGATTGCACTCATGAGTTTCTCCAAGTATTATCACACGCTTGATAATTGGTATTTTCAAAGACTTGTATTGCGTGTGTTTTGCGCGGCCTTGAATTGTTGCAAGAAAGGACACGAAACAGTGTTATAGACGTGTTCTGTTTAACCACGCTGCGAAATTTATTTGCATCGGAGAAAAATTTATTTAAAAATTTATTTCTTCGTATAATTTGTGTTGCTGTGTGACGATGTCGTCACTGTGCGAAACAAGTGATTAATAGAGAAGCATCACGTAGTGATGCGGCCTCGTGTGACAGAATCGCGCAAATGCTCCCAGCTTGACAGTCTAAACGTCTCAAACGATGTTTTCGTGGTGTCACGACGTTGATCTGTAATACCTACGGGGTGAAAATAATTCTCATTAATTTCCAAGGCGTGCCAATAGATGGCGGGCCATCGTTCATTTCAGCATTCGATCGGAAAGTGTCCTGCATTGCAATTACGAAAGTGTCCTGCATTGCATTACAAATCGAAAGCAGATTTTCTAAATTTCCGTGAAATCGCAATTTCTTCCGTCAGGCAGCAAGATGGTTATGTAGAAGCTATTTATAATTACATGAATCTTGTGCGATATATTTTCTTAAATTTTCTCTTCTGAGCTGAAATATTCTAATAGGACGCGATATTAAAATCGATTTGTTTGTAAACATCGAGTTTTTCCAGATGAAATACGCAATCTGTCAGCATTATTGGGCATTGTTTATTTTATTAAGATAGTCTCAAGAAATCAATAATCAAGGTTAATCAATCGTCGTACATGTAATCACGAACAATATCGATTAATGCAACTAATTGTTAATCATTGTAATTAACCGAATCAAAGTTTGTTTAATAATTAATTTCATCAAATTCGATTCAATTATTCGTGCTAATATATATCCTAAGAAAAAATGCTTGAAAATTTATTTGTGGAACATAAAATTCATTTCTGTAAAATAAAGTTTATTTCTGTGGATAAACTTTATACTTTTCAAATAAATTTTGAAATATTTTTTTATGAGCGTACGACGATTAATTAATTTTAATTATTGATATCAGTATTTCTATTCTTCACATAAAAATATATAGTATATATGTATAGTTGAGTAAGAATATTTTTAATATTTTTTTATAGCCTATTTTATACTAGAGGGAGAGTTTTGACTTTTAAATTTTTATGTCTCTAAACCACAGTGAAACTTTGCACACATCTGGAATAGTTAAAGTACAAAAATTGAGAATTTGTATTTTTTAATTATTTTTCTCTTTATTAAAGATAGTAAGATTATTTCCATAACAAAATGGGGTAAAGATACTCTCAAGTAGCAACATGATGTCAAATGACGAATTAATGACGTCTCTAATGTCAATAATATACCATTAACACATTCTTTGACGTTATTATGTTTGTTAAGACTGAGAGAAAAGTACTTAAAAATTTATTTGTGGGATATAAAGTTAATTTCTGCAAAATAAAGGTAATTCCTGTGAAATATACTTTCATGTTGCACACAAATAAATTGTCATGTATTTTTTCTCATTGTACTTCAAAGTGAAATAGCTTTTCCCGGGTTCTGAATTAATGTAAAATTGTTTGCGTCCTTTTTATAGATGCAATATAGAAGAATCTGTAATTTTTTCAACATTTTTATATTATTTTCGAAATCTGAGCGATAATATCCAATAATATCTGTCGGTCGAAAAACGGTGCTCTCTATAAGAACGTCGAGCACAATCGTGAGAGAACAATCGATTTTCACTTCGTTTCGCGTTTTGCTCTCACGATGATAGTTCAGAAGAGCGGTTTCCCTCGATCTTTAAGGCTTTTGATCAGTCATCGTGGTCATATTGGATCGCCAAAAGCGAGGAAAATCATGCACGGAAAAAAAGTTTGGTTGAATTAACCAAATATCTGGTCGAATATGATGATTCAGAAATTCCGATTGAAGTAACCCGAATTCTCTTTAAGTTAACAAGATTTTTGGTTGACTTAAATAGAATTCGGGTTACTTCAATCGGAATTTCTGAATCATCATATTCGACCAGATATTTGGTTAATTCAATCAAACCTTTTTTTCCGTGTGCCAAAAATTTTTGCGAACCACAGCTAAGTAAAAAAATATATCATTAAAATGACACTTGCAATATGTTCTACACACTTGTAAAATCCTCCGGATTTTTTACTGAAATAACTTATTACATAACCGCAAAATAAGTGTGACAAATCGCCTCATTTTGACAGAAAATTAATTGTGTGACTCGGTGCCGAATATGATTGAATAATTACTTATATGTATTAAATATCACAATATCCGGCACAGTATTCGGAGCACAATTATATCACATGTGATACGCACGCACTACACTCAGTAATAACGCTGTAGTTTGCAGGAAAAAATTGGTCGTTTATTTATATCATTAGGTCTGTTTGATAAACTTTGCATTAGTGCAATAAGTTAAAGAAAGACACAAATACACTTCGTTTCATTCTAATTTATTGCAATAGTCTGCATTTTGTGAATCTAATAGTTGATCATTTTATACACTGTAAAAACTGATGTGTTAAATTTAACATATTTCATGTGTCCCAAATCATCCACTCTCATTTATGTGCATTGAGAAAAAAAATTTACTAAATTTAAAAAAACGTTTATTTAGGTAGTACTGTGAAGATATTTGTTTAACTTAAGTAGTTATTTTCTGAAATTAAATAAGGAAGTTTTAAATATAAATTTGTTTCTTCTATCCAAATAAACGTTTTTTGAAATTTAGTAAATTTTTTCTCAATGTGTAAATTTAACATAAATGTGTTAAAAAGTAACACGCATAATATGGAAAAAATTAACACAAGAATTTAACACTTGAATACCGTTAGGAATCACAGATTGTATTAAATTGACATTTTTAATATGTCAGATATAGATTATGTCAATTTAACACTTGAATACCGTTAGGAATCACAGATTGTATTAAATTGACATTTTTAATATGTCAGATATAGATTATGTCAATTTAACACTTGAATACCGTTAGGAATCACAGATTGTATTAAATTGACATTTTTAATATGTCAGATATAGATTATGTCAATTTAACATTTTCATCAAAACCTTAGATTAATACTTCTCTCAAATATTAAAGTAACGTTTTATTTTAGTTAATTTAACATTATACACAAACATTTAACACTTGAATACCGTTAGGAATCACAGATTGTATTAAATTGACATTTTTAATATGTCAGATATAGATTATGTCAATTTAACATTTTCATCAAAACCTTAGATTAATACTTCTCTCAAATATTAAAGTAACGTTTTATTTTAGTTAATTTAACATTATACACAAACATTTAACACAAACTGTGATTCCTGGTGGTATTCAAGTGTTAAATTCTTATGTTAATTTTTTACATATTATGTGTTACTTTTTACCACATTTGTTTTGTGTTAAATTTATACATAAATGAGAGTGGATGATTTGGGACACATGAGATGTTAAATTTAACACATCAGTTTTTACAGTGTAATCATGTCGGCAGCGTCAACGTGAAGTTCTTGGCTGATCGATCAGGAGGCTTAAGCGGGCGAGGATTCGCCTTGCGCTCACGTGGGTGAAAGTTGTCAAATTGTTGTGATTCTCCGCGGCGTACAAATCACGCGGCGTGGGTGACGCCAAATTTACGGTTGTTCAGGTCGCACCGCGAGAGATTTCTCCTTCCTGAGTTTCATTGAAATTTCTTTATGGCGCGGAAACAGTCGTCGTCGATATCGTCACAGGAACGATCCCAACTGTGATGGGCGTCGGGGAATATTCATGTCTCTATTCTCTGAATGTCGCGAATCTATTATTCGAAGGACAAGGCTGCACAAATTATCGAAATGCCTCGAAATTGAACGTTTAGACTCGATAATTATATTAGAGCGGCGACGCGACGCTTATAAATTTATGCATTTCGAAATGAGTTTATACGCGAAGAGAAGAGATTAAGGATACATTATCCGTATAGGGTCCTTGCAAAAGTCATTGGAAATTAGAAATACGCGGACATTTCTATTTCTCGTGTAAAAATATACAGGTCCTATGATTTCATAATCTCTCGTGAAGACGTAGAGCGGTTTGAGATAAACAAAAAATTTTAATAATACTTTGCGAAAATCGTAATATTGATCGAGATATTAATTGTAGAAAATTTGTGAACGCGCGATTAGTATATAATCAATAAAATCACAAAACTTTGATTATTTGATTGACTAATTCCATCAATCGATTAAATTAATCTATATACGGAGAAAATATTGTAGTAAGAATTACAATGCAATTTTAGTAGTCCAGAAAAATTTTCACTATTAGTAGTCTGGCAATAAACTCACTATTACGAAAATTATAATAAAACATAGTAAAAATGACCATAAATATAGTATAAGTTATCATGTTCAAGGTCATTTCTACTATATATAATTTTCATAATAGTGACAGTCTATTCCTGGACTATTAAAATTGCATTATAACTTTTATTATAATATTTTTTCCGTGTAACGATCGATTATAATATATACAAGGATGTTCCAGATTCTCCTTCGCAGTTTTTGTGAGAACGGATTTGGATGAATATAAAAGTCCTATATCGATATTCGCAATAAAGTTGAAATACT